TCTAATTTCTGTTTGTTTGAACATTGGGGTCTTCACCTGGGATAAGTTGCATATCTGAAAGCTGAATAATTAAATGTATACAATAAGTTGTGAAAGTTAAAAATTCCGCACAAGAATTTCAGTAACATAAGCATGCGAAGCTTTAAGCCACAGTACCTGAACGTATCTGTCTGAAGTTACCACCGATTCTGCTAGGTGATCGAGTTCTTTAGATGGATCATCGCCGTAACTGGCGATGATAAGGATAGGAACATTACTTGTTGAATCATTTGTAAACAGTGACTTTAGATTCAGAGATGGTGGTTTGAGCTCGTTTATACCTGAAAGCACCAAAATATAAAAAAATGTGATTTTGGTTAACACCGTAATCTGTAGCGAAACAAGAGGATTTTTTTTAGAAATTATTTTAACAGTCATTGCAGCTTAATCTATCATTATTACTAAGCTAGTCAGTAATCAAAATAATAATCAGACGTTTAGCTCAACTACTGGAGCAAGGTGTCTCCATGACTTTGCCATAAACTACCATTTTCTACGATTCTTTTCCATTTTCATCCATCAAACTTGTTCAGCTCATCCTGCCATCGAGCTGGGAGACTTTTTAAGGGCCTATTACTGCCTCATTTCTTTCGAATTCAGCGATTTTCGGTTTATATTTTAACCTTTCCCTTTCAATCACAAGAGTAGTTTTCCGTAAAAAAGATTTTTATTCAAAAACGAATAATGCGAAATTTACTCTACTGCTGATTTCGCAGACTCGGTTCTCAGTTGCAGAGACGAGATGCCCCCTATACACGTAGTGTTTCACCTCTTCAAGTACACGCCTGAAACATCAGGGACAACAAGTTGCTCTCGTTTGGGCATTCCAGAAAGGACGAGTGGTACGACTATGCTATCTGATACGAGCGCCTCTTAGGGCTGCAACTCTCCTTAGACCACCTGATACCTGACTATCACCACAACGTATTAAACCATGCTGTAGTTCAAGGCAGTTACCATGAGTGCAAACCTTCGGAACGCCAACGAACAAAACTTACCTAGCGCTCGCTTCACAAAGTTCTGCATTGCTGTATGTAAGCAATCCGGTCGAATTGTTTGAATGATCAGCAACTGTTGAAAGGAAGTCGTTTTCTCTTCAATCGTAGAAGGTAGCGACAATTTTGAGTGCGTGCTGTTAGCGAAATCAGCCCAAAGCTCTTTCTCCTTTAGCTGCAACTTCTGATACAGTGAAGGCAATTGCTCCTAAACACGTTTCCATCAAAATAATGCATGGCATTTTAGCCACTGCTAGATTCATCGGTAATTCCGTTGTGTTGGCGTGGTGATTAAGTGGCACAAGCTTCGAACACGACCTCCGGAGGCGCCGAGTTCGATAAACACGGTGGGCAATTTTTCCCCTTACCGCGAATTCCCTGATTAAGGAAATTTGTTGCACATTATTTCAGACTGGGGCTAATTTGTCGGTAGAGCGTCAGACTCAGAACGGAGAAGTTTCCAATTCGAACCCCGGTCTTAATCCCTAGCCTTCCTTCCTTCCTAGATTGATCAATAAGTACTACTCCAACTATTTTTGGTGACGCATTTCATACAATATAGTTCATAGCAGTTTTAAAAGATAGTACTTTGAATATGGTACAAAATTACATCTTGACTGAGCAAGTGTTAGTATTCTTCAAGTGAAGTACAATGAAACACATTCTGCACCTGATTACATTTAAGATAAAGAAATCCAACAGTGGTTTAGAGAAAATAACTCACTATGTAATCAACTGAAAGTAACCGTAACAGCGCGTAACTATTCCAAAACCAGATTTGACGACGTACTGCACCACTATGTTGCTCCTAGTTATCTGTGGGGTATTTAAGTACACCATGGCACAATGATTTTCGTGAACATACACTGTCAGATGCATCTCGTATGCCAGATACGTCGTTCGTAATGAGCGCCAGGCGGCTCTGAGCAAAAAACATGATGCGAGACGCAAACGGCAATACAGCTCGGCGAATACCTGCCCTAAATGGCTATTTGGGCAACTTTAGCGAGGGCGCAGTGCGTTGAGAAATGTGTTTTGGAGTAATCATGCGTTATTTGACATACTCTAGTACAAGAATAAATTATAAAATTTATGCACACCACTAACATATTGCTGCTATCGTGTCATCGTCATCAAAAAGTTACCGAGCCAGCGATATCGGTAGAGTTAAGATGTACCACCTTCTGAAATATCGTTCAGGATGAGATGGAGATTGTCTTAACGAAGAAAATGATGCGAGTAGCTTCCGGCATTGTAAATGCGCCAATGCAATGCCCCCTCTTCCCTACCGCAAGTGACCAGGAACAAGTGGACATTGAAATATGCCACTGAAAGTGACCTTGAAGAAGTTATGCGTTATTTGACATTCTCCGACGTATAAACATTCTGCTAGCTTTTGTTAAACGAACAGCGACAAAATTTTCAAACTGTTACAAAGCTACTGTTGTTTGTTACAATCATTCTCAGGAAGCTTCTGGTTTTAATATTCGCTAAATTGTTAATTTTTCAAACATTGATAGAGCGTTTCAAATAACCAAAGGATCAGCTCCAATACAAATGTAGGCCTGCCATTAACATAGATACTCACCCACGTTGCACCCTGACCTACTAGTCGACTTTTGCGGTGTTTCATTTCATTTCTCGCTGGAAAAATTCGCTAAGTGAAGGGTTTATACTCAACCTATTTATCAACTGCTTCCAATAAGCGTACCTAGGCTCGGATCAAAATAACTCCATAATCTAATACTAAAAATCGTTCTTTACTTTGTTCAGCCATTACACCCCATTGAACATCAAAGTAAACGCTGTTGCACGATGTTCAACTGTGTTGTAAACCTCTGGTCAGAAAGAGGCGCCTGTGTCGACGACAAAACTGATATGGCCGAGTTAATATCCATGGGATCTGGATATAAAGTGATATTTTTCCTATG